TTTTGAGACAGGGTCATGCCATATAGTTCAGACCAATTTTGAACTCACTATGTAGCCAGGCTGGCCTCAAACTCTCGGCAATCCTCCTGCCTCAGCCTCCCAAGTGCTAGGATTACAGGTGTGCACTACCAGCCCTCTTAAACAGTCGGGGATGAAGATAAATACATACTTAAGGTATACAGAGTAAAGAAAATAAAGCCAAATGTTAACTGGAGAATCTAGATGAAGGTACACAGTAGTTCTTGGTACAACTCTAACTTTATTGTAAATCTGAAATTATTTTTAAAGTTTTTTTAAAAAATTAATGTGTCCAGGGCCAGGGATTTACCTCAGTGGTTCCGCTGCCTCCCAAGCGCAAGGTCCCAAGTTCCATCCCCAATACCAAAAAAAAAAAAAAATTTAGTATGTACAAATCAAAACTTCTGATCTCTCCCAAAACCTGCTGCCCTACACCTGCTACACTCCCACTTTAGAAAACCACAGATCTTTCCGAGTGCTCAGACTAAAAACTTTGTAATCAACCATGCTCCTCGGTCTCGCTCGCGCCCAACCATCCTCAAATCCCATTGGCTGCACCACAGAAATATCTCCGGAGCCCCGCCCCCTCCCACACCTCCAGCTGTCTCCGGCTTCACAGCGCCCCCAGCTGGGTCCCTGCAGCTTCCCAGCCTTTGGCTCTTGACCCCCTCCGTGGCTCCTTACCCAAGCTCCACACAGGGCTCTCTGCTCAGCCCCCTTCTCTGATATCACTTCCCACTTCCCAGGAAGTCGCCTGGCCCGATAAGGGACCGCACCTCCCACTCAGTCCACCCCGCTGCGGCCAGTGGGCATCGTACCGCCATCCACAAACACCTGCGCTTCCTGGTCGGCAGGTGAGGGTGTCCAGGGACCCCACTGCCCAGCCTCGGGCCAGAGACAAGTGGCCTAGTCCCAGGACAAGTACTGTAACTGAGTGTCGGCCCCTCGAGTGAAGATGGCTAGCGCCTGCCAGGAAAAGACCTTAGTTGGGCTGGTGGACACCCGCCTCCCACGGGATAGGGGGCAGCCCGGCCTTGGGCACAGGCAGGGTGGATCTAAGGACTGAGCCTCCCCGCCTCCGGGGCTAGGCACGTCTCACTGCTCTGGAGTGCGCAGCTAACAAGGGAGGCTCGCCCAGGAACTCTCCCACTTCAACCCGCAAATCAAGGCCAAATAAGGCTGGGCCGCCACTGCCCTGCCCCCTCCCCTGCGCACATTCTTATGCCTTGTAAGGCCTCGCCACCACCCTGCTGGCAACGCCCCCTTCCCCCCCCCGTCCCCGCCCCGAGCCAGACCCAAGCGAGAGCCAGAGCCAGAAGCGCACACAGCCGCCAGCTCTGCGCACTGCCACTGCCTTCTCCGCACCAGGTGAGCGCCCCGCCGCGGCCCGGACGGCGTCGACAGTTCTGTGGTCTGACTGGCTGACCCGTCCTGGTCAACCCGGGACTGGAGGGGGCCGTCACCAGTCCGCTAGAGGGGGACAGGGGCCCGTGAGTTTGCGCGGTTCTGACCCAGGCTGGGCAGCAGCCAGACTGTCCTGGGCCTTGGCCAGGAAAGGAGGTTGTGCAGACTGTCCCTTGGCTAAGGAGCTAGACGGGCCAAGCCCAAAGGTCCGGGACTGTCCAAGCACAAGGCTGCCAAGGACCCAAAAGACCCTACGTAACATGGGTAAGGACACAGCCCCACCAGGCTCCGTGCCCCTTCAGAGTAGACGACTCCTTCCTCAGCTCTGCACTCCTGGGCAGGAGAGAGGGATGGTGACCAGAGGACTCCCTCCAACACACAAGTGCTGTGTGCCAAGCCCAGGGGCTTCCTCTGTCTGGGGCCTGTGCCTACCTGTTGTGAGGGGGGGGGGTCCTACTAAGGGCCCTGCCAGACTCACTCCTAGGGGGCGACAGGGACTCCTGGGAGATCTGGGTCCTTGCTCCAGTACGCGCAGCCATTCGGACTGGTGGTGAGGTCTGCTCAGGTCTCTGCTGTGCGAGGGTGGGATTTCAGACACCAGCAGGCCAAGTGACAGCACTCTGATCCTTGGTTTCCAGGACCTGGGAGGGGCATCGATGGCTGAAGGGCTAAGGGCCCAATCCTAGAAACTGGCACGGTCACAGCATCCTTTGTCCCTCAGCTGCCACAGGTGCACCGCCAGCCTCCTAGTGTAGGTGTTTCCTGTGTTCTGGCCTTGACAGCTCCAAGGGCCAAGTTTCCCACCCACTGACCCAACCTAGCCCTAGGGTCCTGGGTTCCATCAGGCTTTGGGGCATGTGCTTCCCTTCTCGGGCCTGTTTCCCCAACTGCACAGTGCAAACCCCATCCCCTGCTTCCTGAGACTGCTGCCATGGACAGGGCAGCAGTGCACACTCAGATGCAGTGCTCTTGCCACATTCTGGCTCCGTGGCAGAGGCCTTGAAGGCAAAGGGGCCAGGAGCGCCCAATACCTGCCCTAGGGCTGTGCAGACCGGAGGGGCTGGTGTTGGTGATGACCATCTCAGCCTCAGTGGGGCACAGTGGACTTCTCTATGGGAGGCCTTCTGTGGGTGCTGTGAGTCCAAGCTCACAGCAAACACTGCGCTTGGGAAGGATCTGGTACCTCTAGAAGAGGAGGACAACAGCACCCCCTGCCCCCAGTCCTCCTCACTCCCACCCCACCCCAGCCCTGGGTAAGAAGGGCTCTGTCTACACCTTGAATCAGGCAAGAAACACCAAGGGCCTGGTGGGTGGTATGCGGATTGGATGGGCCATAGGCAGCCAGAGTCTCAAAAATTATATGGATAGGGGCCGGGGATTTAGCTCAGTGGCATTGTGCCTGCCTGGCAAGCGCAAGGTCAAGTTCAATCCCCAGTACTGGGGAAAAAAAACCCCTATATGGATAGCTGTGGCCCTGGGGACTTACTGGAGCTAGCCAAAACCCAGTTCAGGGTTTAGGATCTTTTTTTGGACATTTGAGACAGGGTAATGCTTTGTAGTTCAGACTGGCCTTGAATTTACTGTGTTGATCAGGCTGGCCTCAAACTCGATGGAATCCTCTTGTCTCAGCCTCCCAAGTGCTGGGATTACAGGCATGCACACCACACTCTGCCAGGGTTTAAGACCAAGGTCCATCTGGACAGGTGGCACACTGTAGTCCCAGCTACTTGGAGGGCTGAGGCAGGAGGAGCCCTTCAGCCTATATGAATTTGAGATCACCCTGGGCAACACAGTAAGACCCTCACCTTAAAAAAAAAAAAAAAAAAAAAAAATCAAAGGCTGAGGTCCACAAATGACCTCAACAGGGTTATGGGATGGAAGCCTGGAAACAGGTTGGGGAACACTCTCAGTCACACAGTTTGGAGTGAAAAGCAGGTGGCACAGGCAGGGAAGAGATTTCCAGGAGACCTTGGACCAAGGGACTCGAGCAGAGGAAAGGAGGAGATAGCCATCCTGGGGCCTCGCCAAGGAAAAGAGTCCCTTGTCTGGCCTCGGTTTCCCTATCTCTACAAGGGAGGTGGCCGACCTTACACAGTTGTTCTTTAACAAGCCTCCTGAGACCACTGCAGGCTATGGTTGGAGGGAAAGCAAAGCTGAGGAGAACAGCAAGGGAGGGCAGACTCAAGGCCTGGGCTGCAGAGGGAAGCACCCGCCCGCAGGAGGCAGGCCCAGGAGGAACGGGTGGGAGTGGCAGGAGACGGGACACAGGTAGGAGGGTCCGGACAGTGTCTTGAATTCTAGCCCAAGGGGCCCAAACTTATGGGGACCTTTGAGGGCTTCCGAGTGACAAGTGCAGGTCTGGGTCCGAATGGGATGAAGAAGACTGGCGGGAAGCTTAAGAGGCCCAGTCACGGACAGAGGTGACAAGGACCTGGGGTTCTCAGCCTGGTAGCCCCAGTCCCTGCTAAGCACAGGGAATGAAGGCTGGGGAGGGAGCTGAGGAACAAGCCCCACGCTCAGAGCCTGGAAGAACCTGCAGCAGAGGGATGGAGAGGCTGGGGAGGAGGAGGAGGAGGAGGAACGTCAGGAATGCGGCTGCTACTGCTCCCTCCTCTGGAGGCCAATGAGCCTGGAATGTCACCCCACCTTGTCAGCTGGAGAGGGGGAGATGGGCAGTGTAAATGCCATTAGGGATTAAAGGAGACAAAGCACGTTAACAGTTGGTACCAAGCTCAGTCTAAAGTGTTTTACCCAAACAGCCACAGCAAAAATAGCTTATTCCACATCTGGCACCATTCCAGGTGCTCTTTGGGCACTAAGTGTTGGGCACTGCTGCTGGGCACTCCTCGTGTCCCCATTCCCATATGAGGAAACCCAGGTGGAGAGATATAGAGGAAGCTGTTGAAGATCAGAGCCCAGGCCTGCCTGACTGCTTTTAGGAAGAACTGGGTGGCAGGAGGCCCATGCCTGTGGGAAGCCCTGATTGCTAGGCCTAGAGTGAAACCATCTGGGGGAGGCAGGAAGATTCCCTGGCTCAGAGCCATGGCCTGCACCCCCTTCCTGCAGGGAAGCCCCACCCACCTGAAGCCAAGATGTCCAGCAAGCGAGCCAAGGCCAAGACCACCAAGAAGCGGCCACAGCGGGCTACATCCAATGTCTTCGCCATGTTTGACCAGTCCCAGATCCAGGAATTCAAGGAGGCCTTCAACATGATCGACCAGAACCGCGATGGCTTCATTGACAAGGAAGACCTGCATGACATGCTGGCCTCTCTGGGTGAGTGGGGCTCATCCTGGGAGAACACTTCCTGTGCAATGAGTCCTGGGGAGTAGCTGCCCTCACTTCATCCATTTAAAATAAGGAAACTGGGCCGGGGATTTGGTTCCAGCGCCTGCCTCGCAAGCACAGTTCGATCCCCAGTACCAAAAAGTAAAGTAAAATAAAATAGGGAAACTAAGGCACAGAACAGTTCTGGGACTCACCTGTGGTCCAGCACAGGATCTGAAGGGGTACGGGCTGACCCCTGAGTGAGACTGACTCCACTGATGAATTTGCTGAGCCACACAGTGACATTTCACGTAGAATAGGGGGTTAGCAGCTAAATGAAAGTTTCAACTGCAGATTTTGCATTGTAGAGATAGGGAACCTGAGGCCTGGAGGGGAGGCCAGAGCACCTCCCCTTTGACCCCAGGGATGTCCCCAGAGTCAGGTTCTTAGAATTAAAAGGGCTCAGGAATCAAGTCCAGCTTGGCACTGTTCAAATGGCCAAACAGGCCTGGAGGTAAGGCCTCCAGGGACCACACCCAGGCCATCCCTCCCCTCCTCATGTGCTGGCTACAGCCACCCTCAGCCCCACTTCTGGCGCAGCCTTCATCTGGCTAAGAGCACCTGGACCAGACCCAGCATCAAAGGGGTAGCCATGATGGCCAGGCCACCAACATTGGGCCAGATAGCCTGGAGTCAGCCCCTGACTCTGCCCCCTGCCCATTTTCCCTCCCTGGGCAGGAGGGCTGACGATGCCCACACCAGGTGCCGGCCCCCTCCTGGCTTCAGGCCAAGCTCAGCCCTGGCCTCCTCTCCCAGGAGGTTTCCAGCAGGAAGTGGTCACCCAGCAGGGCTCTCCTTTGGGGGCCTCAGCGTCACAGAGGGGAGGACTAAAGCCAGAGAGGGGCTGGTCCTCACTGCTCCACACCCTGTCCTGAGGGGGGTCCTAGCTCTTCTGGGCCTCACTCAGCATCCTTAGTCATACCATGGAGACACAGCGAATGAAGGTGCCCACCCATTTCCAAGGCAACACCCTGCACCCAGGGCCTCACACCACCCCAGACGTGTACCCAGTAAGCCATGCACATGTGGCCCATGTCACTGGACCCACAGATCAGTCACAGCCTTCCAGTTAAGAACACCATCCTTGCCAGGCATGGTGGCTCATGCTTGTGATCCCAGCATTCCAGAGGCTGAGGCAGGAGGATTACTAAGAGTTCAAGGCCAACCTGGGCTACATAGTGAGTTTAAAAAAACAACAAACCCACCATCCTCGAATTAAAGAAAAACCAAGAACAGCAAATTAATAATAAGCTCTGCAGGTATTATCTTAATTCTGAAAGTAATCCTCTTGGGTGGAGTGGATGTGATTGCCGTTTCCACTTTACAAATAAGAAAACTGAAGCTCAGAGGTTAAGTAATCTGTCCATGGTCTCCTAAGTGGCAGAGCTGGGAGAGGAACTAGCAGTTGATCCCAGAGTCCACAGGCTGTGCCAATGGTTGGGAGCATTTTGCAAACACTGTCTTGTTCATCTTCACAATTCTCCCTAGAGACACAGGAAACAAAAGGCACAGAGCTGGGCTTCAAAATGAGGCCTGTGTGCCACCACAGCTCACTGATTTAACCACTTTGGAAACCACACCTGGAATTTGACTACCTGGGTTTGGGAATCAGCTCTGCTGCTTAACCGCTGTGTGGGCCTGGAAAGCTGCCTCACCTTTCTGTAACTCGGTTACCTAGCTGATAAGTGGGGTAAGAATGCTGCCTTCACAAGGTGGTGACTGTGCAGTGCAGAAAGACACCAAGGGCAGTGGACATGGTCACCAGTGCCGCAAGCAGCCAGGATGGGGCTGGGAGCTCAGGAGCCACTGCCCAGTGTCACAGTTGAGGGTCCCCAAAACTCACCATCAGGGAGGTCCAGAGGGTCAGGATCTCCCAGGGCAGGGACAGCAGAGACCAATGCCCCATTGCTACCACAGGGAAGAACCCCACAGACGAGTACCTGGAGGGCATGATGAGCGAGGCTCCGGGGCCCATCAACTTCACCATGTTCCTCACCATGTTTGGGGAGAAGCTGAACGGCACGGACCCCGAGGATGTGATCCGCAACGCCTTTGCCTGCTTCGACGAGGAGGCCTCAGGTTGGCGAGGCCCTGGGCAGGGCCAGGGTGGGCACCACACAGGCATGTTCAGGCAGGCCAGCTGGGGACACACAGAGGGGACCGGTGCCCAGCAGCCAGAATCCACGCCACCAGCTCCTAGTGCTGCTGCCAACTATAAAACCTGAGCAGCCTCCTGTTCTCTCCCCAGAATGTTCCAGCAAAACAGCCTGCATCCTCCAAGGCCCCTACTTCTGCCACCTCACTGCTGGGCCAACACTCTCCCTCTGTGCTTTAGACTTTTCTGGAAATGAAACCATTTCAAGCCTTTACTGCCAACAAGGTTGAGAAACCACCCCCATCCTCGGATTGTCCTTCTGTCTCACCAGTTGTGCCCAGGGACAGGCAGAATAACAAAGGCAACCATAACCACTCTCAGAGGCCCTGGCCCACCACATTCAGAACATTTTCCTGACTACCACGAACAGCCCACCACCACCACCACCAGCTGCCCCCACAGAGCATTCCCAGAGAAACACCTTGCAGACAGCCCCACCACAGAACTCTCCCTGGGACCCTGGTGACCCCTCCTGAGCCCTCCCACCCATGTCCTCAGTCCTCAAACTGACTGGAGCCCAGGGAGGTGGCTTCCTGGCACCCTCTCCAGCCGTGAGATCTGCAAAGGATGGGGGGTGGGGGGGCGGCAGGGGCTGCTGGGTGGGGATGCTTGAGTCCCTGCTGTCAAGGTCCCCCGTCCTATCCCCAGGCTTTATCCACGAGGACCACCTACGGGAGCTGCTCACCACCATGGGTGACCGCTTCACAGATGAGGAGGTGGACGAGATGTACCGGGAGGCACCCATTGACAAGAAAGGCAACTTCAACTATGTGGAGTTCACCCGCATCCTCAAACATGGCGCCAAGGACAAAGACGACTAGGCCGCCTGAGCCCTCCCACTGCCCGGCCCCGCCCAGGCACCCCTCCCTACACACTCATCTGTACCAGCTCCATGCCCACAAGACCCTGGCATCCTTCCTGAAGGTCCCAGCTCCCAGGGGAGGAAATGGGCCATGGGAAGCACAGGGCCAGGCAAGGGGCATACAGGTGGCTTTGGCAGGTGTTCCACCACGACCCTGAGACCCAAGGCTGTCTCCAAGCCCTGCAGTGAAGGACCACTGTCTGGGGAGAGGAGCCAGAGGGCAGGACTGGGAGGTATAGGACGAGGTCCCTCGAGACAGCCAGGCCTTAGCCACGGCCTGCCCACTCCTGCGCTGACCACTGGCCCCAGGAGGAAGGGGCCACCACTCACCACTCCATGCCATGTGCATTCCCACACACACACGTGCTCACCGCATCCCTGCACTGCACCATACCACACCACACCACACCCATGGGTGAGCTCAGGAGGCTGTGAGGAGGGATGTTTACCCCCAGGGAGGTGGAGTCTCCAATAGAAGGTTGAACACTGCCTCACGTCTGTTTGTGTGTGACTGGAATAAAATCAGGGACCCTGGACCCCAAATACCTGCCTCCTCCCAGCCCCAGTGGCTGTCCTGATCACCCTGGTCTGGAGGATCCCCATTCCATATGGGCCCTGAAGCACAGGGGCTCCACGCTTAGCTCTACCTCCTGGGCAGGGGAGGGCAGAGTGAGGAGGACCAAGGGTCCACCCGCCAGGGCAGAGGAGAGCCTGGGCCTCTGGGGACAGGGGCAGAGGCAGATGTCCAAGGTCACTTCAGTGCTCTGGGGGAACCTGTGGTCCCCGGAGAAAGGGAGGCAGTGATGAGACGGATGCTGCACTAGCTCAGGGTGAGGCTGGAGTGACTGGACACCAGCTCCAGCTGTCCCTCACCCATCAGCTGAAGTGGGAAGGGTGGGTGCGAAGCAGGCCACAGCCTCTTATACCCAGCCATATGCAAGGTGGGCAGGGCTGGCATCTCTGAAGGGTGGGGACGTGGACAACCCTAGCTGGAACATGAAGGCAGTGGTACTGGCAGGACAGGAGAGAAGAGGCAGGGCTGCCTGAGCTCACATGGAGGGTCTTTGGCAGAGGGGGGCTATAAGTGTCCCAGCTGACCCCGGCAAAGTCTGGGAGCAACTGCTGGACCCAATGTGGTCCTGCTGACTTCTGTAGGGGTCCCTTGGGCAAGAAGCCACAGCACACGGCTATGGCCGACACCACACCGGGGAGTGCTGGGCTGCAGGAGGACTCCATGCCTTCCGACACCAGCCCTGCTCAGGCCATGTGCAACTCTTCTCCACTCCAAATTTAGCTTCCCAAGTGCCTGGTCCCCAGGCCAGCCCAAATCAGGGTCCAAAGCAGGCCCAAATACTGCCCCGGACTCAGGCCCGACCACATCCCTGCCTGCAGGGCCCTGCAGCCTCAGTCTGGTCACCTGTACCACTGGGGCGGATGAGTACAGCACTGGCCTCGAGATCCCCTTGGCAGAACCACTGTGGCACCCCAGCCTTCCAGCAAGAAGACAGGGATGTGCTAGAGACAAACCTGGGAGTCCAAGTCTGTCTACCATCCACCAGGGCTCAGGTCCAGGTGGGGAGGGAACAGAAGCAGTGCAGCCTCAGGTCTCAGCCAGCCTGGGCTGAAGGGCCTAGAGCAAATGAGGAGGGAAGTAGCCAGCTACAGCAGGGGCCCAGCAGCTGGGGGGCCCTGCCCAGACAGTGAGGAGGACTAGGGTAAGAGCACCCCCATTCTCAGGAGCGGGAAGGAGGTGACTTCTCATGCAGTTAGCCAAAGTATTAACATCTTAGCTTTGCAGAGGAAAAAATTTAAAAGAAGCTAATGGGTTCATCTCAGCCAATATTTGGAGGCAACAGCAAGGCTTCCCCAGAACTTTCCAAGTCTGACACAAAACCCAGAAGCAACAAAGGAAAAGAATGACAGATTTAAGTGCATGAAGTCTAAATATATCCTGCAGGGCTCAAGAAACCATAAGCAAAGGTAAAGCCAAATACGAACAGGTAAAAGATGATATATGTACAAGAAACCTGTTAAATGACACTAATACATAAAAAAGCTTCAACAATTCAGTAAGAAAAAGACAATTCAGCAGGAAAAAGTGGGCAAGTAACATGGGACTTGTAGAAGAAATACAAACACACACTTTAAGGGCGTCAACATTTTTTTTTTTCGACACAGGGACTTGCTACGTAGTTCTGACTGCAGCAGTGCTCCTACCTCATCTCGTCGTAGTGCTGGGATTATAGGCATGCATCACCATACCTGGTAACAAACATTTTTAGAGTGCTCAATGTCACTGTAAAATTTTTAATTTTTTTTCTGTTACATGGTTTTAATTCTTGTACTTAGCTCTTTGGATTTGGGGTTTTGGGGGGGGAGCGTTTAAACAGGGTCTCCTGTGTAGTCCAGGCTGGTCTCAAACTCACAGCAACATGGCAATCCTTCTTGCTCAGCCTCCCAGAGTGTTTGGATTACAGGTGTGCACCAGCCTGGCTTCAAGTTTTTAATTTAATTTAATTTGGGGGGCTGGTACCGGGGATCGAACTCAGGACCTTGCACTTGCGAGGCAGGCGGCGGAACCACTGAACTAAAACCCCCGGCCCCCAAGTTTTTAATTTTAATGAAGTAATTTATCAAGTTTTCCTTTTGTGGACCATGATTTTGGGTCAAGTTCCAGAACTTTTATTCCTAGGCTCCTAGGATTTTCTTCTGTTTTTTTCCTAAATGTTTGAGTTGCACTTAAGGCCACAGTCCATTTGGAATTAATTTCTACAAAGTACAGGGTTTAGGACAAGGCTCTCTGTTTTGTCTATAGCTGTCCAGCTGCACCAGCAGTGTTGATTTTTTTTTTTTTTTTTTTTTTGGTAATTTTTTTGAGACAGGGTCTCACTATGTCATTCAGGGTGGCCTTGAACTTGTGGCAATCCTCCTGTCTCAGCCTCCCAAGTACTGGGGTTACAGACATGATCTACCATGGCCTGCCTAGTATTGAATTCCTTCGTACCTTCGTGAAAGAGCAGCAGTGTGCCTCTGTGAATGCATGGATCTGCTCTGGATTCTCTGTTCTGTCCCACTGTCTCCCCCTCACCAGTAACAATCTTTACTGCCGGCTGTATGGTAAGCTTTAAAACTGCACAGAGGAATCTGTCCCACTTTATCCTTTCTCAAAATTGTACTATTAGCCAGGTGTGGTGGCTCTGGCCTGTGATTCCAGCACTCTGGGAAGGTGGGGCAGGAAGATTCCAAGTTGGTGCTCAGACTGGGCAACTTAGTGACTTAACAAGAACATGTCTCAAGGGGGCCGGGGATTTAGCTCAGCGGTTTTGCTGCCTGCTGCACAAGCGCAAGGACCTGAGTTTGATCCCCGGTACCAAAAAATAAATAAATTTAAAAATAAAAGAACATGTCTCAAAATGAAAACTAAAGAGGTCTGAGGATGCAGCTCAGTAAGAAGTCCCTAGGTTCAATCCCCAGCGCTGGAAAAAAACAAAAAAAAGGTAACAAAAAGAAAGCCACTATGAAGCAACAAAAAACAGTAAACTCTAAAGTCTGCAGATATTGGCAATACCAGATACAGAATAAAGGAAAATACAACTAATGAAATAAATGTGAAAGATAGACAAGAAGGCATTACATATGTACGTACACCTAAGCAAGGTCTCAGAGAAAGGAATAGAGAAGGGACAATATTTAAATCATAACAGCTACTTAGAGCAAAACCACACCCAAAAAGCACAACTTATCCCAAAGCAGGATAAATAAGAAAATCTACACTTAGACTCATCATAGTAATCCTTTAGAACTTCAAGATAAAGAATGAATCTTACAAACCAGGCGGGTGGTGCATGCCTGTAATCCCAGCACTCAGGAGGCTGAGGCAGGAGGATTCCCCTGAGTTTGAGGCCAGTCTTGGCTACATAGTGAGTTCAAGGCCAGTCTGAACTGCACAGTGAAACCCTGTCTCAAAAAAAAAAAAAAATTAAAAAAAAAAAAAGAGTAGGGTGTACTGTGTACACCTATAATCCCAGCATTTAGGAGACTAAAGCAGGATCACAGAAGCCAACTTGAGCTACGTAGTGAGACACTGTCTCAAAAAATAAATAAATTTAAAATAGAAACAGACTCTGTTTAGGCTGGGGGTGTAGTTCAGTGGTAGAGGGGTGCGCTTAGCTTGCACAAGGCCCTTGGTTCAATCTCCAGGACCAAAAATAACAAAAAAAAGAGATAAGCATTGACTCTTTTAAAGGACAAAATAAAGACACTAATAAAGTTATGTACCATGTTCATGAATAGAGCAGCTCAACATTGTACCTAAAGTATAAACTCACTATAATTCCTGCAAGTAATTTTCAAACATTCAAATACTGCTAGGCACAGTGGCACACACCTGTAATCCCAGGAGGTTGAGGCAGGAGGACTGCAGATTCAAGACAACACTAGGCTGGGGATGTAGCCCAGTGACAGAGTGCCCTTGGGTTCGATCCCCTGTACCAAAACCATAAATACACACACAGAAGAGCAAAAGTTCACAAATTACCATACTAACTTCTGAACAGAACAGGGAAGACTTCCTTTTGAAGTGGAAAGGTCTTATAGATGCCATGGTAATAACAAGATTACTCCAAGATCAACTTGTTATTTTAACAGAAGAAAAACAAATTCTAGTTTTGCATTAATATTACATTTGGCAGTTAAGTATTCACAAGTTTATTTTTCTTATGAATAAACTCACCAAAACTGAACAGACTTTGCCAAAACTTTGCCAAAAATCCATTCCAACTGCTTTTTTCCCCCAGAATCATTGTAGGCCTTACACATCAAGGTGAAAAAGATTCTGCAACCTCTTCCAACTTTCTGTGTTTATTCCATGAGGTCCTTTCACATTCTGCCACAACCAAATGCTTTACTCTTTTCTTTTTTCCTGGTACTGGGGACTGAACCCAGGAAATGCTGAGCTACCACCTCCCCAGTCTTTTTTATTTTTAATTTTGAAACAGGGACTAAATTTGCAATCCTTCTGTCTCAGCTTCCTGAGCATCTGGGATTAGAGTTGTGCACCACCACACAAGGCTGAAATGTCTTACTCTTTGTATTATTTTTCTCTTGTTGCTGACAAAAATACCCAACACCCAAAGTTAAAGGGTAAAGGGTTTTTTTCAGCTCACTGTTTGTAGAGGTTTCAGTCCATAATTGGCTGGCTCCAAGGCAGAGTGGCGCATGCCAAAGGGGCATCACAGAGGAGAAACAGTTCATGGCGCCTACACAGTAGCAAAAGCAACAAGGGACCTTAACAGTGACTTTCTGCCCCTGTTTATCCTATCCAGACTACTGACACTAGGGCGGGTAGCACTCACACCCTTAATCCTAGTGCCCTTGAGCCTAGCACTGCACCATGAATCAGTTCCAGTATCACACATTCTAGGTCCAGCCATCTATGAAAAACCCTATGACCACACGAGGCTTTGGGGGGATATCTAGACACAAACCGT